CCTTTGCCCACTAGCATAGGGGCACTTTAGATGAATTACCAACTCACATGGCCTAGAGAGACTACTTAAGAATACTCATCCTCGACCTAGAGAGGCTACCTAAGAATACTTACTCCTGACCTAGAGAGGCTACCTAAGAATACTTACCCCCAGCCTGAAGAGGCTACCTAAGAATACACACCTCCGACTTGGAGAAGCTACCTAAGAATAGTCACCTCTGGCTTGGAAAGGCTACTAAGAATACTCACCCCACAAACGATTGGATCCTCAATGCCAGTCCAACCTGGAGAGGCTACCTAAGAATACTCACCCCACAGCTGGCTGGATCCTCAATGTCAATCCAGCCTGGAGAGGCTGAGCTTAGAGGATACTCACTCCGCAACATACTTGAATAATCTCTAATCACAAGATAGGAAGCCGAGGGTCTGGATGAAACGTTCACGTCTTTACCTATCTTTGGAAAACACAGTATCAACGTCTTTTTATCCAAAGGACAAGCAAAGATGCAAAAAAAACTCACCTGGCTAGAAGAAGCAACATGGAGCTTTCACACCTTATTCATCCTATACGAAGACAGGAAGCCGAATGTCCGAATAAAACATCTACATCTTTAACTACCTTTGGAAAATGTAGTCTCAATGCATTGTTATCCAAATGACGAATAAAGATGCAAATGAACTCACCCAACCAAAGGAAACAACTTAGAGCACTACGCCTTATTCGCCCTTACAAAGACAAGAAGTCAAAGATCAGGTGAAATGTCTACGTCTTTACTTGCCTCTAGCAAAAGTAATATCTTGTTATCCAAAGGACAAGTAAAGAGAGACAGCTATAGATACCAAAATTTGTCTACGTTACCCCTGTTAAGGACGAAAGGTCTCCAAGACTAGAAGAGAAGCCCTTGAGGGCCCAAAAGACACGAAAAAGGATTGAGACATCATCAAGAAGCCCATATGACTCAAATCCCTAATTTAGGGCACAAAATAGTCGTTCCCAACCTTGGAACAGTTGTTCCTAATTTAAAAATAACACATGAACCCTAGTTGGGAACAACCCTACCCAACCTAGGAGCCATCGTTCTGAGTTGGAAAATTGTTTATGAAACCTAGTTGGGAATGACCCTACCCAATCAGGTAACCTAGTGTTATTTTGCGACTTGAAACGATAGTTCCAATGTTGGGAACGATCATTCCCCGTCCTTGGGTACCTATATAAGAATTCCCAGGGCTTAATCTCTAGGACTGCACACACATAGAGGAAACACCTTTCAGAATTGACTCCCCTTCTCTATCTATAAATTTTTGAGTGATTGTGACGCTTTTTGTAGAATGAAAGATTGTCAAAATGTGCCTTTGCATAATTGTTTAAAGATCCTTCTATAAAAGCTTGTTATGGAGGTTTTTATTCTCTCTCTTCTTCTTTTTCCTTTTTATTTGCTTTATTCACAATCCTATTCCTATGCAATAAATAAATAAATAATCATGTAGATAATAAGTATTTTAGTCTTGTAAATAAAATGTAATATAAATTATTGTGAGCATAATAAAAAGGGTAAATACTTAATTATTATTATTATTATTTCAAATTTATCATAGGGTACCGAGTTAGGGCATTTGGGGTGCCTAACACCTTCCCCACATGTAACGACCCCCGAACCTGATTCTGACTCTGAAGGACATAATCTACTTTTAAAAACTTTTGTTTTCTTTTTGTAGATGTGTTAAGTAAAATATCAATGGCGACTCCTTCAAACCTTTTTCAAAATCATCAATGTCCGATCTTTGGGCATTCCCAAAGCTGGTGAGATTTTCAAAACAAAGTCCAAACCATCTATGGGAAAAATTAGAAATTTTCAGATTCTGACATGCATTAAGAACTTTTAATTCAACAGATGGATAGTTAAAATTTAATGTAAAACATGAACTATTGAGTGAAGTAAACTTATCAAGACTCACTCTTAGTGTAAGTGAATTACTCCTTTATATTCTTTTGATTAGTAAAATGGTAAGCGGGGAATGACACTCTAAAACTACCAAGACATGATGAATATCCTCAATAAATTTTTAATGATCACATGAGATCCTCCTTTCTTTCTCCCTCTCTCTAAATAAATAAATAAATAAATAAATATATATATAT